GGGCAGGTGCGCCCAGGTCTTTGCAGGTCCAGGAACCACAGGCAGGATTCAGCGAGAAGAGAAGCAGCAGCTCCCGCTAGATCGGAAATCCTCTCTCTGAAGAGCCTTGATCCGGACTAGGACGCCAGCTCGCTTCCCCCGCAGGTAACTGGGTATATCCGTAAGGAAAGGCGGAGAATTGTTTGCACCAGCAGATTTCCACCTCCATAAAAAAGACTGATGTTGCTGCCTGATGTCCAGAAGTGTTTGGCARTTATAAGTCAGAAGAGCAGTCACATCATGCCAACTGATTAAAAGTGATAATAGGGCAAAATAGTAAAAAATAAAACTAAAAAGCAGAGGCAGACGGCGAGCCGCACACGCTGGCGCCATCGTGCCACGCCTTCGACTTCGATGCAGGGAACTTCTTCACTCCACAGCAGGGAACACATGAAACAGGAAGTACATTACTGAAGGCTTGTTTGGTTGGCTGAGTTACAACATGAACACATGAATGGATGACTGACTGAAATAAACATTTAATGCATGGTTAGCTGCTTGAATGAATGAATGAATGAATCCTGAGTTAGATGAAGGAATGAATGAATCCTGGGTTAGATGAATGAATAAATGAGTGATTGAATGAATGAATCCTGGGTTAGATGACTGAATGAATGATTGAATGAATGAATGAATGAATGAATGAATGAATGAATGAATGAATGCTTGTTGTTTCAGGGTTCATGACAACTCACAGGCTAACGCTGTGATGCAGCAGGCAGCCGTCATCCTGCAGGTGGAGGAGTTGATGCCCCGCCTCCGTTGTTTCTATGACGACCTGTACATCTCCAAACACTGCTCCCCATTGGCTGATCCCTGTGGTGACATCACAGGAAGCTCCCGTTACCACCAGGAGCTCGGCCTCCTCAGAGCAGAGATTAAAGTTTGTATGACAGGAAGCAGTGTTCTCTGCAGTCATGAAGAGCAGCTCTAACATGTCTCTGTCCTGCAGGAGACTCTGGACCAGTTCCTGGTCCTGCAGAGGACCGCAGACACAAAGTGAGCCTCAACTTTAACAAACCTGTGTCGAAATGTGAACTTTAACAAATGTGCCTAATGTGAGCAACAATCTAACAAATATCTTTACTAGAGCTCAGAAAGAAGAGGAGCAGCAGAACCAGGACCCATACACACAAGAACTTCAAGCAGTCCGAAGAGAAATGAAGGAGCTTCAGGCTCTGGTCCAGCAGCTGCTGCAACAACACAACTGATCTGTTTGGTACTGTAGCATTTTCCTGCACCAAAATAATCATTTCTGATTAGATTTAACTTGTTCCTATGACTGCTCAAAGAAAGGAACAAAATCCCACTTTAACTTCAGACTATTTTTTAAGGCTTGTGCATGGAAACTTCCTTTGTGTTTCGAATTATCATCTCTTCCACCAACCCCCCACCAGACTTCCTGATGCCTTAATGTTAATAGATAAGGACTGTCTGTTCGCCCCTCTTTAAAGGGGGTCATGAACACCTTTAACCAGACTCTTCAGTGACTGAGACAAAGGACCTACATTCTCCATTAAATGTGAAAAAAAGAGAACAAGATTGAATGATTTTATCCAACTGTCTGTTTTCATTTATCTTAATCAAAGAAATGTGATTTACCTGTTTCTTTTACAGAAAGAACAAAACCCATTGAAGCTCCACTGTGTTCTTTTTAACTGTGTATTGTGTAACTGTTGATGAAATATTTTCCTGAAGATGTTTCTTGTATTTCATGATTTTAAACAGTGTGTGTTTTATTCCATGATTTAATCCTTAGAAACCTTAGGACTTGAGTTTTAATTAAATGTGACATTCTTATTTTACTGATGTAAGCAGATGTCTCTCCCTTTAATTAGATGCAAGATAATTAAACTAAAACACTCCCTTTTCTTTGTCCTGAAGTAAAGTTTTCCCTCCAAAACAGATTTGTTTTGTTAAAAACTTTTCCTGTATAAGGTGTAATATTTTCATTGGCCAACTTAAAACCTTGACTCCGCCCATAACAGAGGTTTTAAAAAGCTTAGCGCACTTCCAATCTCTAAGAAGAAAAAGAAGAAAGAGAATTGAGAGAAAGAGTTTTTCAACATCAGAAGCCAGAAACAGCTTTCAGAAGCTCAGCAGAGACCCTTCCTGCCAGCCCCCCCCCCCATGGGCTGGTGGGATGAGGTCACTCTGTTTCTCCTGCTGATTGACCGAACAGCTACCGTTTAATATCGACTCAACATCTGAGTTTGATTTTATAGAAGTTAAATAAGTTAACTGTAATTCATGCGTTGTTTTAGTTTGTTTTCTCTACAAAGTTGAAATCAAATGAAGAAGTCTTGCAGCCGCCTGGGAGGACCGGACCACGAGTCACCAGGGAGTGACCCCCTTCTCTGACCATGGGACCAGTCGAGTTTATCAGGCAGACCACCTGACATCCAGCTTGTATGAAGAGCCTACCTGGGAGACGACCCCAGAGATGACCTTCAGTCACTGACTTCCCTCCTGGTACCCACACGGCAGAACAAAAGGGTAAAAGTGAACATTTGTCCTGGTGACACACAGGTGCTCAGACGTAAATTGATTCTTATCTTTGGATGAGATTTGGTAAACTAAATGATTTTTCTCCCTAATTTAACTAGGACCCCCTTAGTTAAATCCTCAGCTAAAAACAAAACTCACCTCACCTCACTCCAAACCTCAAACTCACCTCTCAGGGTTTATTTTATTTGTTTGTTTGTTTATTTGTTTGTTTGTTTGTTTGTTTATTCACTTGTGATTGCAAACTCTCAGTTTTTACCTGGTTCAACATGACATCACTTCTTACTCACCATAGTTGTAAATACATTTAATCTGTAAATAAATGGCCCGTGGAGAACGTGCCAACATAAGCTAATCTCATTTTTGTGTCTTGATAAAGTATTATTGGTTCTGATAAGACAAGAACTCATTAAATCATTTTGGGTACATTTATTGTGAGACTGATTACAATAAAGTTACAGGTTTTCGTCTCTTTCCTGGGTCAATCCTGGACCAAATTAAGAGCGTGGTGCCTCGAGGAAAAATAATTTGTGTGTTCACAAATTATCCATTTTAGAATAGACCCAAAACCCCCACAGTACCACTAACCCTAACCAGTCAGACCTGCTGAGGTCCAGTTCTGGACCCAGAGTTTAGATGTGCTGGACAGTGAATGAAGCATGACTCAGTCGGACCACTCAGAACAGTGAAGTGAACTCTCTGTCCTTCACTGATCTACCTGACATCTTCTGACCAGCTGCTCGTGGTGGTCCTGAGGACCAGTGGTGGGCACAGTTCTGCACTGATGCAAACTTCTCAGTAAGACAGGTTGCTATTGGCTGTCCTAAACTCTGCTGGAAGCCACTGGATGATGTCATCACCTGACATTTACCAGTAACTGTGATCTGTAGGACAGATGCAGATCATCGTTAAAGAAGAACGATGTACAAACACTAAATATATTTACAACTCAGAGAAATACTTTCACAACTTTAATGCTTTGCTTACATTCATACTACATAAATAAAATTAGTGAGAATATTACACGTTACGACCCGGCTCAGCCTGGGGAGGTCCCATTAAAAACATGATGTAAACTGGTTTTAAAATGAACAGTGCTTTATTTGTTAGACAGTGTCAAACTAAATAACAAAGTAACATTAACAAAAACAGGGTCCTTTTCATTTACTTGGTATTTACTGTCAGAATAATGTATTAATTCTCCCAACATATTCTATAAATGCAGTCAAGCTTTTATTTTCAATTACAGGGGAAAAAATGCATATTAGCTAAATATTCAGGATCATAAGTCAGAAAATAACAGATATTCAAATCAGTAACATTAATGTAAGTCCAACAGTACCAGTACCAGTTATCCATGGTTATTCACAGGACCAACAGAAGATCTAAATTTATTAAGTAAGAAACAAAATAATATTTTGAATTCAAATTACAGGTATATATAAATCAGTATTATAGTTATGTAAAAATATGTACAGATGCATCAAAGTATAACACAGAACAAGTTGGGTACTATTTATCATACCAGGGAAATGGATCAATAATAAATTATCAGCATACACAGGAGAAATGATCCAAATATTACTCACACTTCAATGGATCGAGGACAATAAACCACTCAGATCAGTAATTTGTTCAGATTACAATTCCTCGTTAATTAGTTTAAAACCAGTTATTCAGAAAGCAGGCCAGACATATGAATAGAAATACAACAAACAGGATTAAAATGATGGGATTAACAGTCATTTGGATACCAGCTCACATTGGAATACCAGGAAATGAAAAACCAGACAAAGTAGCAAAACAGGCTACCAAAAACACTATAATAGAAATAAAATTCAGTAAAACAAAAATAAACAGCATCATAAAGCTGAGATAAAAATGGCAAAAACAATGAGAGGAAGAAAGAAAAGGTCGATGGTTTTATTAAAATTCAATGGAAAACAGGAGAAATGAGAAGCGCTGGAGGAAACATGTCTCAGACACACTGGATTAAAATAATCATTATTTATTATAGGAACACATAAAATACATAAGTGAAAGAATTTAACTGATTAATAATGTAGGGGTTTTGGGTATATTTTAGAAAGGATAATTTGTGAATATGTAGCATTTTCCTCCTTTAATTAATAATTTCTGATTAGGTGTAACTTAGTTCAATGACTGCTTAAAGGAAGAAATCAAGATCCACTAACTTCAGACTTTTTTAAGGATTTTGCATGTTCTCTTTGTGCCTTGAATTAGCATATCTTACACAAACTCAACCAGACTTCCTGACGCTTTCTTCCAACCCCCATAAGGAATGCCTGTTTTCTTCAAAGGAAAGGGGGTAGGGTCATAAAATGCCTTTAACAAGACTTCAGTGACTTGAACAAAGGAACTCACATGCTTGTTTAAATGTGAAAAAGAAGAGAAAAGAAGTAACCAAGGTGAATGTTTTTATACAACTCTCTGTTCTTATTTATCTTAATCAAAGAAATGTGAGTTTATCTTCTCTTTTACAGAAAGAACAATGTTCTAACTGTGTGTTTTTATTTGATGAAGTGTTTTCCTAAAGAAGATGTTTCTTTTATTTCATGATTTTAAACTGTTTTTATTCCATGATTTAACCTTAGAAAACCTTAGGCCTTGAATTTTTAACTAAATGTGACATTCTTATTTTACTGAGGTAAACTGATGTTTCTCCCTTTAATTAGATGCAAGATAATTAAACTAAAACACTCCCTTTTCTTTGTCTTGGAGTAAAGTTTTCCCTCCAAAACTGATTTGATTTGTTAAAAACTTTTCCTGTATAAGGTGTAATATTTTGATTGGCCAACTTAAAACCTTGACTCCGCCCATAACAGAGGTTTTAAAGGTCAGTGCAGCTCCTGAGATAGTCAGTCAGAAAGTAGAGCAGTTAGTAGGTTTTCCCTTTGAAGCCAGAAACTGCTTTCACAGCTCGGCAGAGGCCCCCCTTTGCCAGCCCCGCCCACGGCTGACCAGGATGGGGGGTTCATTCAACATCTTCCGCTGATTGATCGAATAGCTCTATCATTCCATTTCGACTCAACATCTGAGTTTGATTTTATAGGAGTCAAATAAGCTAATGGTAATTCATGCGTTGTTTTAGCTCGTTTTGAAAATCAATTTAAAGTCTTGCAGCCGCCTGGGGAGGACTGGACCCCACTGTCATCAGCTCACCACCCACCTTTCTGACTGAAGGACCAGCAGATGAACAGACACCCTGAGTGTCCGACCGGCCACCACACTGAAGCAGTTCTTTGGGGAACATCACCTGAGATCCTTCGGTCAGCCGACACCTCCTCCTGGTACCACCATCAGCAGAATACAAGGGTAAAAGTGAACATTTGTCCTGGTGACACACAGGTGCTCAGACTAATTTGATTCTTATCTTTGAATGAGATTTGATAAACCTCACTCTAAAAGCAAAACTCACTTCTCAGTGTTTACTTCATGTTTAAATGTTTTGTTTGTTTATTTGTCTGTCTGTTTGTTTATTCACTCGTGATAACAAACTCTTTCAGTTTTTTTTACCTGGTTCAAACATGTCATTATTCATTCATTACTCACCATAGTTGTAAATACATTTAATCTGTAAATAAATGACCAGTGGAGAACGTGCCAACATAAGCTAATCTCATTTTTGTGTCTTGATAAAAGATATTCCTGGTTCTGATAAGACAAGAACTCATCAAATCATTTTGGGTAAATTTATTCTGAGACTGATGACAATAAAGTTACAGTTTTTTGTTTTTTTTCCTGGGTCAACACTTGATCAAATTAAGAGCGTGATGCCTCGAGGTGAGCTAAATTGTGAGTCACAAATTACCTATTTTAGAATAACCCAAAACCCCCACAAATATATTTAAATGTATTTCCTCGAGGCACCACGCTCTTAATTTGGTCCAGGATTGACCCAGGAAAGAGACGAAAACCTGTAACTTTATTATAATCAGTCTCACAATAAATGTACCCAAAATGATTTGATGAGTTCTTGTCTTATCAGAACCAATAATATCTTTTATCA